GCCTGTTCAGGACTACAAGTGGAATTGGTTTGACAGTTTTTGTCTTCTCATCTCCTACGCAGCTCGCCTGCATTGAATCGGACGTGCCAGTCTTGGTCTGGTGCCGGATGCGTAGAGAACTACAGGACTCCTGCCTGCCCAGATCAGGTTGATCTCAGCATCTACTACACGATACGTATGACCCAAAGTTCCGAAAATCAGAGCAATCTGCCGGCTCCTCAAGACCCAGGGCTTTCGAGACGCCGTGTGAAATCGTTAGGAATATTTGATTGAGGAACTCTCTGATGCTCATCAAAATGTTTCGGCTTGGACGGCTGGTTCGGCTGATACGCCTGGTGCGGCATCGGATGTTCTACGAGCTGAAGGCCCGCCACAGAAAGAGGATGACCGCCAGAACATTATTTTGCGCCACTCGAGGTGATGATCTTTGGCCTTTGGGCTGGCATTCGTGTTCTAGGCAAGGTGCACATTCAGCAGACGCTTCACATGTTGGACAGATGTTGGCTGAACTAGTCCGGACCACGTGGATGTCGCTTGGTGATCATGCTTCGGGGTGTTGTGACGGTCTTGTGTTGCCTGGCCAGCTGCTATCCTTTGAGCCTACTGGGACAGTCCATGACTGTATTGCACTCGTTCTCAAATGCCAGGCTGGGCCATCACCGTTCTTTTTGCCAGAGCCCTGATCCCCAAAGAGCTGCCAGAAGCATGAGTGCAGCAGTGAGGTCCTCGTGTACACCTTCGGAGTGGTCCTCCGGAACATCATGGGGGCGACGTGTCTGCAAGAGAAGCATAACTTGTCGAAGTTTACTTCTGCTGCTCTGTTCAGGACAGCTTCCCGGAGCTTGAAACGGTGCCTGCGGCCATGTTCACGTTGTGCGAAGCTCAGGGTTTGCTTCAAAACATGTCGATCACCATCCAGCACTTCAGTCAGCTTTAGAACCTCAGGTTCCGATGCTTCACGGAGGACTGCGCTGCTTACGATGGGACCCCCCTGCCGGAGCGCGTTCGCACTCTGGCCAGACAGCCTCATCAACATGCTGTGCTCTTCTGCCTTTCCTTTTTCTGACTTTGAACCTTTCTCGACAATGGACGGAGTGCTTGCAATGTGCGCGCCTGCAAGCTCTGTGGCTGAGGCATGTCTCCCGTGTACGGCCCTGCGCTAAGATGCCAGGTTGTGATGTATGTTGTGGTGATTGTGGTGTGGCTTCACTAGCGCATAATTGTTGGAATATGCGCGATTGCTCACAGCGAGTGGCACAACAGATGAGTTCATGCTACGTGCAAGGTGGCGGCGCATTTCTGATCAGTGTCTTGGCCATTTCGTGCTGCAGTTCCATCAGACTGGTGCTGATAGTTTTGTGAGTTTGGAATCCTACTACAGCCACTCGTCGATGTTTTCCTTGCAGTGGCCAATCAAGAAGAGCGTGTACAGTTGTCTATATTCAGTAGAACATTATCTCGTGCCTACCTGGGTTCGTGTGGAATTAAATACTGCGACCAAACCACGCAGGCTCGCAAGCCATCCGCTGCTGTGAAGCTAGACGAAGTCGACGACAAACAGTGGAGAGTGCAGATTAAACGATGAAGGCCTTTAACGACAGCAGAAGCACACATCCAAAACATTACTAAGCATATACGAAACAGTATAAACACATCCATAAACAAAGCAAAAGAAGGTACAAACCAGGAACTTAGCCCAATCATAGCAATGCCACAATAGAAACCATAAAAAAGACAATAAAGTATGATTTGTTGATGGCTTTTTTATGAACTAGTAAAACAAGCATAAATAAATCGTATCAGAAACATACACCAGCAATACAACCAAACCATAAATACATCATGAACGAACCAGAAAACTTATTAGGGTCGTGGGGCTGTAGTAGGACTTCTAAACTCACGATGATAGTTTCCAATGATCCGGCGCCTGCGTGGAAGGCTACATACTCATGATCATGATCGTCTCTGTCGGCGTTTTCAACTTGATCATGGTCGCTCGGACATTTTGCAGCTTGCTGCGAACCGCATGCTCTTCTTGGCTGAACATATAAGGCAATTTTCATCGACAACGCCGTGTCCTCAAGTGGCTTCGAGAAAACGCTGTTTCACGGCTTGGACCCCACACCTGCTGAGGTCACCGGCTCCCAGCAGGCCCGCCGGAACCGCGAGTTGGCGGAGACAGCAGATCGGGTCTGCCCGACTAGTGCCGACTTGTATGTAGAGAAGAGAAGGAAGCGCAGGCGATGTCGCCAGGTTCGCGTCACCATCAAGGAGCATGTTGCAAGGCAGCTCTTGTGAAAGAAGTGTGTGCAGTCCTGTTTTCTGCCGGCTTGAGTGCCCGCCTGCCTTGCACGATCTTGCTCGGGATGTTTTGCAGGTTTCTTGGCAAAGACATGCAGAAGAGGATGACTTTCATCCATGGACCCTCGGCGTTGACAGGGCTGAGATTGGCACGGAGTAGATATTCATATTTCGATCCTCGGCACAAATTGTCAGGAGATCTGAACACTCGAAGGGACATTCTGGATGAGCAGCTGAACCAGCAGGAGGCATGCTAGACAAAGGGATCTCCGCAGGAGCAGGGAGTTTTCAGGTGCATGCTGATCGGCTTCCTTGACATTCCGGCTTTAGGATGTCGGTAACGGACAAACGGAAGGCAGACTTCACCGAACAACAAAATACTGCTTCCACCAACAGACGCAGTCAAGATGAACCCGTGGAGCAGCACAGTCTGTTTTCGATCTGTATTCGCTTGCGCAATGTGAAGGTTGTTATTCGTCGAGAGTCATTCCAGCGCTGGCTTCAGGACCCACCTTGTGAAACACCACTGTACAGGTATCTACTCAAACAGCTGAGGGCAGATGTGAATATGCATTTGGGATTGGCAGCCACACCAATAGAGTCCACAGCCAGGCAGTGTGACGTCTGAGCCTATATGGGTGCAGAGAGGCTTCTCATGGACGCTCGCTTGGTTTCAGGACCCGGAGTTCACAGAGGCGCACCTTGGATTTCGAAGCAGTGGGTCCGTCGTTGGCCCGAGAAAGTCAGTGGGCATGGGCACGTGGGCACATGTAGACGTGTGACGCCTCATGCTGTGTTCTTGTTATGCCGGGCATGGCTAGACGTGTCTCAAAGTCGAGGCTGGAAGAAGCATACATCGACGTCTCGAATAAGGGCCACCTGTTCGACATCATGGATGCTTCTGGGCCTGCGCTTGTGCTGATTCTCTGCCGCGCTGCTCGTGTCTCGCTCCGGTCACTTTCACACACTGAGGCTGACATGGGCGGAAATCTCTCCTTGGACGAACTGGTAGATGGTTTGATGGCACTTCGTGGCACCGCCCTGGGCCCCAGACTGGAGATGGCAGTCCGCCTGTGTTTGTACGGCAGCTAATCCAGGAGATGTGGCAGTGAACTGCTGGTGAGTTGCAGCAATCTGAAGTACGCTACAGGTCTGTCGTAGACACTATTATCAATCAAGGTCGCTCGATTTTTCGTCAGGCCTCCGATGCTCTGTCGCGCCAAGTAGGTGCTCCACTGGCCCAGGTCAACAAGGGCGACATCATTAACATGAGCCTCAAGCCGGGGCCCCTAGCAGCTGAACTTCGGTGAGCAGTGCAACTTGAAGCGGAGCGTCTCAGAGGATCCGTCTGCTGACAAGACACGTGGAGCGCTTGCTCACCATACAGGAGAAACTGGCGCCAGGCTCTTCGTTTGCAGTTTTTGCATTGATCCGATGCTGCACGGCTTCTCTCGAGTCGCATATGTGCTGCAGACTGGTGCAGGTGAATTCCTGGAAGGCTAGGTCTAGGCTGGTGGATTGCAAGTGAGAAGTCCTTTATGCATCGTGTCGTCGACGCTGAGCAGCGAATCCATGCTACTGAACATCTGGCCGCACGGAAAGTTCAGAAGATCCTTTTCCACCGTGTTCTCAATTCTCCCTCATGATTCTAAGCTGGAGCAGGCGGCCTCGACTCCCAAAGGGACGGAAGGCATCGCAGCACCTTGGCCTTCAGCCGGCCTTATGGTCCTTCACACCGAGGTGTCAGGTTTGCACTAGTCGCGGTCGTGGTCGGTGCTTTGCATGCAGAGGCTCGTAGCCCCCAACCAGGATGCAGCGTGAAACATATGCGGATCTGAGGTCACAGCCGACACCACCTTCGTAGGACGTGCATAGCTCTGGGCGCACTGTAGCCGAGCTCAGAAGAAATCATCGCCTGCTTATGGCGTACGTCAGCAGCGGGTACGTGCAATTCGCAGGTTAGATGATCGAATGGACTGTGCAACATGTGCAAGTACAGAGGATGTGCACATATGTCTGGACTTATGCATATGTGCAGACATACATGTATGCGGTATGTGCAAAAGCCTATGCCATGCATGTACGTATGTATGTGTGTAAGTATGTATGTATGTGGGCATGCATATCTGTAGGTGGATCCGCACTTCAATTGAAACACTGTTCATCTATCCACCTACTCCGCAATACCAGCAGGCCTGTCTATCTGTTTGCCCTATGTACCTGCCTACCTCCTCGGGATGCAGGGGCTTATGTAGCGAGAGAGGCGAAGGCCTCTTGCTTCCTAGAGTGTGCCCAGATACATCGTGTTAGGCAGCTTGGAGTACTCTTTCTTGCGCTCGGAATTGCGGTTAATGCACCAGCGCTGCTCGGCTGGCGCAGTGCGAGTACAGGCTGGACCAGTCTGCTGGCTCACCCGGAAAGCATTGCGACCCTAGCTGGCACAAAAGCGCTGCAAAGCTGCGCAGTACATGGGTGCTATCGATCGTCAAACAGTCCACGGTAGGCTCTGACGCATGACTGCACGAGAGCCTTGACCCAAGCTTGACGATCGTCTCATCTATGACAGCCGCTCGTTCAGCTTATCGGCTTGATAATTACAAAGGAACAGGCGAAGTTCTCGTGCTGGATAAAGAATCACTCTGCACGATGCCACACTACTCTAAAGTAGGAGATGGGATCCTTATCTCCTGCCGTCCCAGGTGCCGGTGCAGAGGAGAAGCCGTGGCCTCTTGCGTGCGACAGCTCCAAGAATGTCGGCCCAAATGGCGGGGGCCGTCGCAGGTCCGAACTCCGTGGCGGCCGCCGTGGCAGCAGCGTTGCCTAGTGCGGAGGCGGCCTGAAGTCTCAGTGTAGTTGCGTGGTCGGTCTTGATGTTCGGGGGTTGCTGAACTAACAGGCATCTGCACGCTGCGCTGTTTCGCAGGCGCCTCGCTTCACGTAGGTTTGAAGTGTCTCGGGGAGGGTGAGGCCTGCATGACGCACCCGGCTGGTGCAGGTGTCGACTCATGCCATCTCATGATATCTCATGCCTGTCTCTCCCTGTCCGTCAGCTTTCTCGAAGACGTCGGAAGGCCATCGCCATCTCGTTTCAACTTACGACCGTCGAGGCTGCGCGAGCAGGAGCCGCCTGGTCTCAAGTGGGGGGAGCCAAGGACGTGAGAGACACTGCTGAACTGCTGCTATTTCTGGTAGTCTAGCAGCTTCTAGCCAAGGTAACTGCTGCTGCTGCCGCTGCCATTTCTCCCATGCTCCTCCTACTTCTGCTGCTACTACTACTACTACTACTGCTGCTACGGCTGCTACTGCTACTGCTACTGCTACTGCTACTGCTACTGCTACTGCTACTGCTACTGCTGCTGCTACTACTGCTGCGACTACCACTACTCCTGCTCCGACTCCTACTCCCCTAGTACTACTGCTGCTACTACTACGGCAACGACGATCACGACGACGACGACGACGACGACTACTACTACTACGACTACTACTGATACTGCCACGGTTGCTGCTGCTGCTACTCCTGCTGCTACTGCTGCTGCCACTGCTACTGCTTACCGCTACGACTCTACAGATACTACATCACCGCCACGCCACCACAACCGCCAGCCCTGCCACCGTCGTGGCCACCAGAACAACCGACCAACAAAGAACTACTGAAAACGAAGAGCTGTCTAGCAGCAGCAATCCAAGGGAATCGTGGCACGACGACTCGCCGTGACAAACGAAGGTATTCTGCATCTTTCTGCCGAAGTCATGTTCGTTCCGGATTATTTTCGGCAGTGGTTACATGGGGAAGCATGAGATACCAGACCTGTTCTAGATTAAAGCGATGCAGCTATCAAGTTCCAGCACCGGAATTACCGGTCCACCTGATTTTGCTGGCATTGCATCCAAGAGTGCCCCCATTTCTTTACGCCTTGTTGTGTAAGCACCATTGTACGACGTGGCATCCAAGGCTTTGGCGACGGGATTTGACATGGCTCAGTACAGCGTGGTGCTGCAGGCCGTATCAGAGGCAGATGCAGGTTGGTGCATTTCCTCCCGCCAAGATTCTATTGCGATCGCTATCACTGCAGGCCTCCGACAGCCCAGGCTCCTTCAGCTCTGACGTGGCTCCCGTCTTGGGCCGCTTCCTGAGCCGAAGCTGACGATCCGCAGGGCTCCAGCCGCGTCGCGGAAACTCGCGTCGAAGATCTGAGGAGCCTTGAACGGCACGGACATGCAGCAGTTGAGCCGCCGCCCCGGAGACAAGCCGTGGTTTCCTGGAGATTATGCTGCTTTTTCGGAACTGCTTGTCACGGAGGTTTTACTCGAATAGGCTAGATATAGATATTGGCCAACGGCCGTACAACTCGGTCCCAAGCTCAAGCGAACAATGTCTGCAAAGATGCACGGAGTCAGGTTTGGCTTTCGCTGTGTTTATGGGGCGGTTCTCCTGGGAGGGTGACCTAACGACGCCGCTGGCCTCCGCTCTAACCTCAGTCGAGGCTTCGCAACCTTTCATGCCGGGTTCCTTCTTTGTGGCCGAGCATCATGCAAGTGGCAACATGATGTTGCCCTGTGATCATACTGACATCAACAAGACCAATCACTGTACTTCTGACAAGCATGCAGACGGTACATACATAAGCAGCAGCTGCAGCTTTTCCTAGGCCCTTCGCGCGACAGTAGGAGACGAAGATCCTGGCCTGGAGCACGATACGTCGGGCCTCAATCTTTCAGCGTCAGGTTTGTGCATTGTAGATGTGATCGTTCTGAGTGGCCGCTCTCTTTCACCCACTGCTGTTTTGCTGCATGGCGAGGATGCTGCTGTTCTTCGTCTTTGATGCGGTTGGTGATTACGATGACGACGACGATGAAGATGATAGTGGTGATGACGAAATATGACGAAACTGCTAGGACTAGGACACATGGCAGATCACACTCCGAATCCACTGCACATTACAAGGGCGCTGCTGTCGCCGTTGGCCGTTTGCGTTGGAGCTGAGCTGTGGGAGCTGGCGGTGTCCTGAGCCTCAGTCTAGGATAGTCCAGGCAGGTCAGCGCAAACATACAATTCGACATACAAGAACATAGAAGACACGACACCCTAACTCCGCCAAGAGACTTGTTCAAATTGCGCTGGGCTCACTAGACTTCGAGGTGGCAGCGGTGCAGATGGCACGGGACGGCACCTCCCTGAAGCATGCCTCCATGGTTCTTGGCCAGGCGCAGGGAAAAGTCATGGGGCGGGATGGGAAGATGTCTAGTGGAGTCGCAGTAGGAATTGTCGAAACTAACGGAGCGATCGCAATGGGGATGGCCGCGCTCATAGCAAACTTATTCAGAATGACCTTGTGAGGAAGTGACCTTCTCAGACAGGGCGCCGTGACAAATTACGCATGATGCATTTTTCGACGATGCCTCTCATGTAGTTGGCAGTAGGCTAGTCGCTCTAGGGACAGAACCGATCCTCGGAGACCACCACTTCCGTCAGCCAGGCTGCCTTTCTGACCAGCCAGGCACCGCTGCTTGTGAACACCCGGATATCTAGTCCATACTTGAAGACGTTTCACGAGATTCCGTACACGTATGCTATGCTTCTTGAATTTTGGGAGTCTGCAGAACTGGCCTTGAAGGTTCATCCACACTTCCCGTTGTGGTTGCCCATTGTAGGGCAAAGACACCGCTTTGGCTGTAAGCACACATGATGTGCAGTGGGATGATGTTTGGCGTTGAAAAAGTAAGAATGCAAAAGCGTCGACTGCGGTGCATTTCTTTCGGCCGGGTCCGGGTGATGTGACAGCATTGGCATGCTGGGTGGCGCACATAGATGCACATGCCGTATGCCGTATGCTTTGTAGATGCCGTTGCTACCAAGCTCTCGCCAAAGGCTGCAGACAGTTCCATCTTTCAAGTTGCTTCGATCCAAGCTGCTGCCACATCCTCAGACAGGTTCAGCCTGGCTGAACACATTCAACTTAGCAGCCCGAAACTTCCGAGGTGAAGCGAGCTCAGCGGAGAAGGGACGAGGCTTCAATCTCTGAAGTTCTGCCGAGCGGCTGACCGTGAACTGCGCCAACCATGTTCTTCATTGAAGAGACGCAACCCTGAGCATGTTCAGCTTGGGTAATGTACAGGCCGCAGGCATGTGGACGATCGGCAGCTTGGCAGCGGAACATAGATTCGGACAGATATGGGACAACACCCGGGTGAGCCTGGTAAGAGGAGATTCAAGCTGTCTGGCACGTGTCATCGACGTTGTGGTGGTGGCGGTGGTGGGTCGTGGTCTTGGTGGGGGTAGCAGCAGTAGGGATACATCCCCGGACAAAAGTTTCGAGGAGCAAATGGTTTTTTTCAGTAGCATGAGCATTTGCAGCGGAGAAGTGGCGAGGGCGGAGATCTATTTTACGTGGCCAGCGTGGCAGAGTAATTAAGTTCCGGGAATCAATGTACACACTACGGTCTTTCGGGACCTTTCTGCGAGAGGAGTCTACAGGGGCATGGGAGTGCCAGTGCTTGACATATTAAGTTACAGGTCGTCTGACGAACTGGTGTATGTATGTATGCATGGTATGTATGTATGTATGTATGTATGTATCAGGCTTTGTGGCTTGGAGGGACGGACCAGGGGTGCTGAAACAAGGCATGCCTCCATTGAGAAGCCGGCAGAGCCGCCCTTTGCAACGCGAGACACTCTCTCGTGGCGACGGAAGAAGTATGTATGTATGTATGTATACATAGGGTTTTATTAATCCATTAATGGCGATCAACGTGGTCGGAGTGGTCGTAGTAGTAGTGAGTGGTAGTAGTAGTAGTAGTAGTAGCAGCAGCAGGAGTAGTAGTAGTAGCAGCAGCAGTAGTGGTAGGAGTCGTCGTAGTCGTAGTCGTAGTCGTATTCGTCGTAGTAGTAGTAGTAGTAGTAGTAGTAGTAGTAGTAGTAGTAGTAGTAGTAGTAGTAGCAGTAGCAGTAGCAGTAGCAGTAGCCGTAGCAGTAGCAGTAGCAGTAGGAGTAGGAGTAGTAGTAGTAGTAAGTAGTAGTAGTAGCAGTAGTAGTAGTAGTAGTAGTAGTAGTAGTAGTAGTAGTAGTAGTAGTAGTAGTAGTGGTAACTTAATAGCAGTAGCGGTGGCGGTAGCGGTAGTAGAGGGGGTCCGACAGGAATATTCCTTACCGGAAGTTTGTTTACGTGCTTGTTTTTGGTGTGACTGTTGTTTTGATTTATGCGCCCGGGTTGTTTCCGAGGCTCTCAACACCTTGCGGTCACGCCGGTTGCCGCTCTCTCGGCCTGGAGGGCACTCAGGGCCGGGTGCTCGGGAAGTGGAGAGCAGAGTGTTTCGCTAGGTCCAGAAAAACTAGATGCACAGATCTAGTTTGGGCTTCATGACCTGCTTGGATGGTCAGCTTTCCACCGAAAAGAGCATAAAGAGCGCACAGCTTGTACTTGTGCCGCGGTCTAGCAGTCTAGCAGCTGCAGGATGGAAACGACACCGCTTCGCTTGTGCAGAAGGCAGAGCCGGCTGTGCCGTGTGGCCTTGCGGGGTTTTGTTATCGCCTCTTTTGCTTCTTGCATGTGTGTGCTCTCATGGAGGACGTCTTGTGAAGGGCAAACAGCATCACCCGCCCCCTTCACCCGTAAGCATAGGCGCACGGTGGAAGCAAGCTGGCAGATGCAGCGTTTCTGGTGCGGCATAGCACACGTGAGGTGGAGCAGGCCGTCCTGAACTTGACAGGTGCGCGACTTTCCCGCCTCTTGCGAGTCTTTTCTTACATTGTGTGCCGTGATTTGTGGATGGGCTTGTTGTGTTGGCACAGGCGGCAGGGACAACGAAACGCTGGCTTCTGCAGCGCACTTCGTCTTGTCCTCGGGGCTTGTATGTCGCAATGTGAGCATCGTGAGTTTTGCACCGCCAGCCTCAGGCCGCGGCCTACGCCGCCAGGGGCCAAGTGTGAGCAGCTACCCAATGCTTCCCGAACGGTCATGAAAGCCCCCCCCCCCCCCCCGTTGGCCACGTGCCATGCGTGCCATAAGTGTATCGATCCCTTGACATGAGCTGAGGGCTTCAGCGCCGACGACGCTTCGCAAGCTGTTTACCAGGTGCCTGTTTGTGAGCGACGACTAGATGCGTGGCCTGAGGCGGCCTCAGAAGCATCACACCTTCGCCCTCTGCCTTGGCAGGTTGCTGGCAGCACCGGATTCCCAGGGCTGCTTGCAGCATCATGGCCGGCAGGGGTGCCCGTGTCCGGGCCCCGGGATCACTTTGGGAAGGTGTGAGAAACTGCGATCTGCCACAGGATGTCGAGCCTTCAAAACCCATCCTCATCCGCTGTCCGGGCCACAACCGCGGCCTTGGCCCTTGCGATGCCGCTTGGCGGGTTTTGGCAGTTGGCAGGCAGAGCCGGACTTTTATATTACAGATGCAATGAATCTGAAGCGAGACGAGGCAGCGTAGATGCAATGTTTAGATTTCCTGGCCGAGGTCGGACGGCACAGTCTGCATCCTAGAGTTCAGAAATTCGTGTCGAGCACCGGGTGTTGCAAGCGTATGATTTAAGGTTGAGAGCTCCAGTCAGTGCCTGAACGGAGCGGCAGGAGCTGTGATCTGCGAGAAGCCAGAGCCTGGGTCTGACCCGTTTCCGCATTGAGCAGACCCCCATCACCTGCAGCGCGCACCCGCAACAAACCGATGAAATGCAGAGAGCTTTTGGAAACCCTCAGAAGTCCGAAGAAGCACTTTAGTGTTCCTTGTGTGTGTCACTGACCTGTCACTTGGCGACTCTTTAAGGCCTACCTGGCCCAGCGACACCTGCGCGCTGCAATTGGGCCACATCCTCGCCAAATCCACCATGATAGCTTGACGGCCTAACCTCAATCTTGCTTACCTTAGCTGGTGGTTGGAGGGTGATTTGTAGCCCCAGAACGTGCCCAGCAGTGACTACATGAGGCCTCACGGAGAACTTTACCTGCAATGCTTTCTGCGCAAGTCAATCCAGCACAGTTCTGCCGGCAGCCCAGTTCGACGCACCGTTGAAGAGCGTTGCTGAGCTGCCCCGACTTGTTGCTCAAGATGTTTTCCTCGCAGGCAGACAAGGTGTCTGGACTTTGCCATCGCTGCAGCGTCAACCTGTGACGCCTCGAATTCCACGGCCCGGGCTCTACAGACATGTTGGTCAGAGCAAGGGAGCAACGAAACAGAGCCTCGACTGATCCGACGTTTCAGTGGCAGCTTGCCCGAAGGTTCTTCCTGACCCATGCGGCTACGCTGCTACGCTACAGGCAAGGGCCTGTCTGTGAGAGTGAAAGCTCCGGCTGGCACGAGCAGCACCTGAGTGGAAGCCGAAGCTGCATCTGCCCCCGCGTTCGCGTTCTTGGGCTCATTCTAGTAGCCATTGCTTCACCTATTCAGCAACGATGATTCGTGCCTTGAGCGGGCTTCTATGGCTGGATGCCGCCTCGCGGACGGCTGCCTGCACTGTGTTTGCAGTGGGCAAGGCGGCAACTAAGGAGTGGGCCCATTCAGCCTGCTCATGTTGGTTGATTCAGATTTGTAGGGAGTTCGGAGTGGCAGCATTCGCCTCATCCGCAGGATGGCTCTGTGCTGATTTCGCACTCAGATGACGGCGATCCTCAGAACGATGCCAGGGCCTTTGACACGCACCGCTTCACCGTTTCCCGTGTCTGATTGGGAAAAGCTGCCATAAATGCGATGCAGCGACGCATGCCAAGAGGCTGGATTGTACTGGTTCCAGTGTCGACTGTGCATGTTTCCCGGGGTCCAGTGAAAGCTTTTTCACCCACATCCCATTTGCAATCTTCCGGCATCGCGAGAGTTCTGAAGCCAACAAACAGGAAGTCTAAAGGAAGTCAAAATCTAATGCAGGAGATCGTTTTTTGTACACCGGTAAGGAGAGTGTTGGGCAGCGCGCCTAGAGCCCGAAGCAGCCACCAAAACTACAGGATCAGGAACGAGAGGAGGCGGACAAAACATCGCTGTGCCACGTCAGCTCCCAGGCTCGCATGCTTTATGTACCCGCTGCAGACCACCAGCCAGACGAGAAGCGGCCGATTTACTACACCGCAGAGACCTTCCCGCGGTATTTGGGGGACCACATGGGCCCCGACTATCGCCCTAACGCAGACACCAAAGGGTACAACGTGTCCGAGCCCATCGGTTACATCGACCAGGCACAGACTTGACAGTTGAGGGCTGGCTTCCTTTCCTCAATATGCCTTATGCTGACCGTCAATGCACCAGAACTAAGATTTACGTAGGTCTGTTTGCGCACTTGTCTTGTCTGGCACCAGGTGCCTCACACATTCGGCTATCAAAGTGGCACATATGGGGTGCTAAACGAGCACGGTGCCTCTTGGCTTCATTTCGCAGGGCAGGCTAGCGGTTTGCAGCTGCCGAGCTGTCTGAGTTTGATCTTCTGAGCCTAGTGTTCCTAGGCCTGTCACAACCTTCCAAATGCGCACTTCCGACAGCCGACTGTGATGCTTCCCGAAGCCGAAGCCAGAAGTCTCAAAGCCTGTCCAAAAACAAGTAGCAACAAACAGTAAGTTCATTGCCCTGATGCAGGTGCAAAGCACTGTCACTTGTCATGCGACTACACTAGTCACTTAGTCAATAGTCGGGAATATTATCAGGGACAAGAGCAAATCAAGCGAAGAAGAAGAGAAAGAAAACGTCGCTCACCTGAGGTTTCTGTTGCGGAATCGACCTGCAGTGCCGTCTTCGGAACTTGTGGAAAGGGCTCCACGGTACCGTGGCGCAGTGAAGTGATCGTACACAAGAGTGCTACACAAGAGTGCTCAATCATGAAAGAGGGATTTTTCGGTTGGTTTCACACCAGCTCTGTACTAGCAGCGGCTACATCTGTGAGTGCATGCATACGTGTTCGCATGTGTACATGTGCATACACAATCACGCATGCATGCATGCATGGGTGCATACACGTGTACATACATACACACACACACACACACACACACACACACACACACACACACACACACACACACACACACACACACACACACACACACACACACACACACACACACACACACACACACACACACACACACACACACACACACACAAACACACACACACACACACACACACAACACACACACACACACACACACACACACACACACACACACACACACACACACACACACACACACACACACACACACAACACACACACACACACACACACACACACACACACACACACACACACACACACACACACACACACCACACACACACACACACGATATATATATATACATATAATATATATAGATATATATTTATATATATACATATATATATATTAATATATATATATATGTATTTACATTATATTTATATATATATATATGTATATGTATATATATATATATATATATATATATATATGGTACCCCCCCCCCCCCCCCCCCCAAAGACCAAGGTTTCTATATGAACTTTAGATACAAGCCTACTTACACTGGCCGATAGTCGTTGGTCATATATATATATATATATATATGTAAGAGGAACCTTTCTGTATAATGTGTTGCTCTGGGTCCGCTGGAGGAAGGTTTAGATAGTTTAGCTGGTTTTGGGGGGCCGGGCGGGGAGCCCAAACCAGCTAAACCAGCTAAACCAGCTAAACCGTCTAAACCCTCTAAACCACGTGGGCTTAGATGGTTTAGCTGGTTTAGCTGGTTTAGGGGGCCGGGCGGGGAGCCCAAACCAGCTAAACCATATCGCGCGGACGTCTGAGCTTCAGGTGCCTGTCAGCACTTTGAATGAGCTGCATTGGAATCGCTGGCTGTCTGTTTGCCTCAAGAATCGTGATTTTAATCTCGATACCCTTTCGGTCCTTCGAATTTCGAAGCCCAGATCGGCACTTGTCTGTCGCCCCAATGCTTCGGAACGGTTTCGGACGGCTTAGGCTGATTCTGAACAAGGTTCTACTCGTAGCAGTTCCTGAGACTCCAGAGCCTCTGCATTGCAAGACCTGAACCCAGTGGCCTCTCGAACGTGCAATACGCTCTAACCATAAAACTAGGCATTTCAAGAAAGGGGGTAGGGTATGAGCCTCTAGGTTGTATGGCGGCCGGAAGAAGTATTTAGCCTCTAAAACAACTGCAGCACAATGCAATACATGCCCCCAAAAACCTCTTTGTAGTTATCTAGTCCGCAAGTGCTTCTGTTATGCACAGGAACCCTTGGATAACAATTTGGCGCCCTACATCATGTGGGTAGTTGTCAAAATTATGGTCCCGTTTTGGGTCCCTATTATAGCACGGCACCTACTATTTAGGGTACCCAAAAAGGGACCATAATTTTGACAACCACCCATGTGCGCCCATCAGAGACTCAGTGGGCCTGGCTCAGATCCAGGAAGCTTTAGAACAAGGGCCCGGCCACAGCTGTGTATGTGAAGCCTCCGATAAAGCTTGCTTCTCATCTCCAGCTACTTGGAGGGTCATGGGACTTAGTAAGTAAGGTTATAAGTACCTTAATTGGGGTTATAAGTATAGTTACCCTAATTGAAGATGAGGAGAAATTAGGGCTGCAACAGGTGTGTGGTCACTGGAAGTCCTGATGTGCATGCTTTTGTCGCGGCTACCACTCACAGGTAAGGCTGCGAAGAATCAACCTTGAGCCATGACCGTGTGATGGTAGCAGTACAGTTTGAAGCATTGTGGCCTGTAAGTGCCACCCGACTAGTCAAAGTAGCTAGCTTAATCTTCCGAATGCCATAGGCATGCTCGAAGAAAGCACAGCTTCCGACTTTCGAGACTCGTGTGAAAGATCCGTAGGGCGCGCCCATGGTTACAAGCTGCTGACTGCTGCGTTGTTTTCCTGTAAGCGGTATTGCCTTACATCAGGTTATGAGTTCCCAAGCTCAGCCTGTGGCTCCGCAAGTGAATGGTTCCGAGGGAACCGAAGGTGTGGCGCGACCGCCACTGGAGGAGGAAACCGGAGCACGATGCTCAGGTCAGGGGCTGCACCCCGGATCTGAGCTAGTGCAGCCAGATACAAGTAGTGGAGGAGGCGGAATAGGAGGCGGGGACGTTCAGTCAGGGACGGAGACGCTGCCCCAAGCGACTACCTCGACTACAAGGACCTTAGATGCTGGAAGCGGCGGAGATCCTGGGAGCAGCCAGGCCTTGATGCAGGGATTGGAGCCTCGCACCAATATCGCTGACCAAGTGAGCGCACGTGGAGGAGGATCTGCTGATCAGGCGCTGTTTGCTTCTGGAGAAGCGGCTTATGTGCAAACTGAGGGTGAAGGAGTGTTTGGCGGCTTTATGACGCCGCGATCGAGATTGTCAGCGTCTTCGACAAGAGTGGATGCTGGGAGACAGGCTGGAGGCCATGGCCTTCCAGCGTGGATGTCGCGCCTGGGGGAGTTGTTTAAGGCTCCTCAGGTAACGTGGTTGCCGAGTCCTCTGCAGTCTCCACCGAGGCCCCGGCGCATGTTTCAGCCAAGTGGCATTGAAGGAGATGAGCCACCAAGACCGGCGACAATGGAGACTGTGACATCAGGACTGGGAGCGTCAGTAGGGGCTATGAGACCTAAAGGAATAGGACCTAACCCTAATAACACTACCCCCAGCAGCAGCGACCTGCCAACAGAAGCAATACAAGCAGAAGTGCAGCGGCAGCTAAGCGGACTTTTGGATCGCTTGCAGTTGGTTGAAGGTGAGAACGCTAGATTACATGATCAGCTGCGGAAAACGCAGATCCAGGCCGCGAGCAGGCTAGATCAGTCGGGACCCAGTGCTTCAGAAGCCCCTCGAGTACCCGATCAAGGGAATCATCTACGGGATCCTCCGATAGCTCATGAAGCTTCTTCTGATGCATGGCGTGATCCTCTTACTGCTCTATGGAATGAAGTTAATGCAAGGAGATCCGCTACGCAATTCCATGAGCCTGGTACCCAGCGGCAGTATGGAGTTTCTGAGCAGCCCGGCGCTACAGCACCACGCATAGAAGGGGATCAAACCACAGCAATGCTTGAGGCCCTGACCAAGAGCATGACCCAGCTGCAGGAGATGCAGGCAAAGACTTTGCAGCGAGGACTCGATGATGATGCGCCAGAAGCTGTGAAGTCCTCTGTAGCACTCCTTCCAACATTGGCTTCTCCGGAGGGTCAATCAGCTGGAATTGTGCTTCAGGATTGGCTGGCGCAGATTGCCGTGTCCATGCAGGACTTATCCCCATCATCGGGAGCGTGGTGGGGAAAGGTCATGACCTTAGTCCG